CACGCCCCCACCCCCTCACCAATGAGAAGGTCTCCGTCGGCGTTGTAGAAGCACTTGTCCGTCATGCCGGCGTTGCAGACGTACACGTGCACGGCCATGCCGTGCCTGGAGCGGACGTCCCCGGCGCCGCAGACCGTGCGCAGGCCCTGCACCCAGTCCGTGCGCGCGGTGGGCACGTCGAAGGGGAGCCAGCGCATCTGAGCGGGACGCAAAGGACAGGGTAAGTCAGGTAAGTTCAGCAGAGGGAGGCCGCCGGAGGCCGCGGCCAGCAGGCCGACACAACGGGCTGCACCCAGAGTAATCATAGCGCGGCACGAGGGGTACTTTACTTTTAAAAATCGGTGTATCGGGTGTAACTGTGAGTACGCAGCAGTGTTGCGGGATTGCATACTCAATATGGCCGCAGGGGCCATGCCCCTTACGGGTGCAAAGAGTAGGGAAACCCGCAGCACTGCTGCGTCTCCAGAAAATTCAGAGAAAAATAAACAGAAACAAAAATCGGGGGGGGGGGATAAGAAGAAACAGAAAAATTGGTGCACGCTCGGATTTTATATGGAAGTACCCCTTGGCGTGGCAGCAGTTCAGATGCGAGAAGAAGCGGGGGTGGTTACAGTATCGGCCTTTCGCCATCCCACTCATCACCTGGTTGGGGTTCGGTGGCTGCGCGTTCCAGTCGACGCCGTTGAAGTGCTCGTACGGGCCAGTCTGGACGGGGATGAAGGGCTCATGAACCACCGAAGGACGGATCCGGTAGAGCCAGGTGCGGCGATTCTCCCGGCGCGGAGCTTTATGTAAAACGCCCCACAATAAAATCAGCACGACGACATATAGCTTTTTTGTTTTGTTGAAACAGTTTTCGACCATCTAATAAAATATTTTAACTATAATACACATTCAAAGGGAGAGAGGTTGCCAAGAAGTGAAATCCTTATGATGGTGAGGTGAGCCCAGAAGGACGTCCCCGCTAGTGGCCACAAAAAAAATGGCCAAAAATGCCCCCAAAAGTGGTCGTCTTTAGTCCGGGTCGGATTTTAGCTGCACGGAGAGAAATGAGGTTGCATTCCCAGCAAAGCATAGGTTGTTGGGAACTTAATAGCTATCACAGCAAGCAAGTTTGCTCTACCAGCGATAACGTTGCCGCCGTAACAATTCGAAGGCAGCTACGAATCCAGCTGCCAACATCTAGCAGAAACAGCAAGCCGATTTGCTGCATTTACAGTTCTTGTAACTTTTGACCCGGTCCGTGCCATATCGCCATCACCGTACCCACATTTCACCAAGTGAGGGGCACGGGCCGTTCCCACATTAACCTTCTGAGTTGAAATGTTCTTATTTACTTATTTGCGCATTCATTCCTAAAATTAATTTGAACAATCTATTCCGCCAGTTCCTCCGTCCTGTTTCTCCGGTTTAGACGCGTTTTGATTTGTTGTTTCGAGTGATGAGTTATT